ATGACGGCACCCAATATGAGGTGCTGATCGAGTTGCCCTACATGGATTTCAAGCTGCCGGGCAACCTCAAGCAGATCGTCGGCGCGGACGTGGTCATCACGGGGCGCGCGGAGTTCTCTGTCGGCTGGGATTCCCGTGATCCCGACGCCTTCACCAATCCCGTGCGCGTGAAGGGCAACACCCGGCCCGCCGGCACGATTCCGGTTGAGTGCTCTGGCACCGAGTTTGCGCTGCGCTTTCGCAACTACGACAACAAGCCTTTCCAGCTCGATTCCGTGACGATTTATTTCAACGACCTGGGGCCAGTATGAACGTGACATTTATCGTCAGCCCTGAGCTTTTCGCTCAAAAATTCCATCTGGCTGCGCCGTTGCTGCAAACCGTGGTGGAAGAGGCGGCGCGCGGGGAGTTCACGGTCGAAGACATCGCACGCATGACCCAGTCCGGGCGCGTTGTGACCGCTGTTGTGGAGCGGGACGGCGTGGCGATCCTTGCCGGGGCTTTTGAGTTTGTCCACTACCCGCAAACCCTTGCCGTCAACATTTTGGCGCTTGGCGGCGGGTTCGTTGACGAGGTGGCGGCAGAGTTTTGGAGCACCTTCAAAGCATGGTGCAAGGAGGCGGGGGCGTCTTTTATAGAAGCGTCATGCAGCGATGCGATGGCGCGGCTTCTGGCGCGATACGAGTTCAAAAGTGTGTACCGAGTGGTCCGCACAGAGATTTAACGGAGTGACATCATGCTGATAACGACGAAACACAGTGGCTACACCAGCGACGGCCGCCGGCTCTATTTCAAGGGCGGGGGCGGCGACCCTGGCGCTGATGCCCGCGCGCAGGAGGCAGAGCGTCAGTCTCGAATCAATGCGGCGACGGCGCAGATCAACAACATCTTTGGCACCACGCCGCGCGAGCAGCTCTACAGCGACCAGAAAACCGCCGTCTACGACATCAACAAGGCCGAGGTGGACCGGCAGGCAGAAGACGCAGCCAAGGCAAACCGCTTCGGTCTGGCGCGTTCTGGCCTGGCTGGCGGTTCTGCGGACATCGACAGCAACGCGGAAATCAACCGGCGCACCAATGAAGGCCTGCTACGTGCTGGCGGCATTGCCGACCAGTCAGCCGCCGACCTCCGTACCGCTGATGAACGCACGCGCGGCAACCTGCTCAGCATGGCCCAGTCCGGCATCGACACCGGATCTGCTGCAACCATGGCCCTCAATGGCTTGAAGGTCAATGCCGACTCTGTCGCAGCCCAGCGCTCCGGGGCAAACATCGGCAGCCTGTTCAATGACATGAGCCAAGCCTACCTTGTGAACCAGCAGGGCCTGGGTCGCACGGCAGGGGCTCAACTTCCCGGCGCCCAGTGGCTTGGCGTTTCTGCGCCTACGTCCACCTATGGCGGCAAAACTCAATAAGGGGTAGCCCATGACCGGTTTAGAAATTGCTGCACTCGTTTCGATGATCGCCGGGGCCGGCATGCAGTACAAAGCCGCCAGCGATGCGCAGCGCCGCCAGCAGGAAGAAATTCGCGCAGGCCTGGCTTCGCAGCGTGAGCTTCAGATGCAAGCGGAACAGAAGGCGCTGGGCGCAGCGGAAAAGTTTGCAACTCCTGACCGGCAGGCCGAGCAGAAGCAGATCGAGGACACCATCACCGAAGAGCTTATTGCGCCCGTTAGCGAAAGCCAGACCATCCGGGCCGGACAACAGACCACGCAGGGCGATGTTTCGGGCGACTACAAGGCAGCCAAGGCAACCAGCGACATCAATGCCTTGAAGGCGGCAGAAGGCCTGGCCCGGATGATGGGCAAGACTTCCTCTGCAAACCGTCTGCGCATGAATGAGGGCATCCGCCTGGCCGATACCGGCATGGACATTGACCGGCTGGCCAGCTTCTCGCGCGGGCAGGCCGGTGCCGACCAGATCGCCACCCAGCAGGCTGGACAGATGGATCCGGGGCTGGTGTTTTCCGGCTCCATCCTCCAGGGGCTGGGTTCCGCAGGAATGATGATGGGCGGCGGCTCTGGTGGGGCTGTCGCTGGCGATGGCTTGAAGGCTTCCAGCGGCGAGGGCATGAATTTGCTCGGCAAAAGCGGAGGCTTGGGGTTGAAGGCAAACGGCGGTTTCGCTTCGGGCTTCAAATCACCGAGCGGCGCTCTATATCGAGTATTGGGGTAACAACATGAAATTCACCCTTGACGGCACAGGCGCGCAAGCAGCAGGGCAGGGCATTGGCAACCTGTTCAAGGCCTTTGCGCTTGGACCGCTGTTCAAGCAGCAGGCAGAGCAAGAATCAGCCTCGAAAGCTGCGACCGCATACGCTCACACCCAGCAAGGCAACAAATACGGCACGGAGGCGGAGGCGGGACGGTACACGCTGGATCAACGTCGCGGCGTTGACGCTGACATCGAAGCCAATCCGACAATGCCGGACTATGAGCGCACCATGCGCCGTGTGTTCAAGATGACCGGTGACACCCATGCCGACCGGGTCGCAAAGGCTGGCACAGAGTTCCAAGCTCAAGGTTTGCGTGAAAGAGCACTTGCCGCGCCGAACATTGATGCCATGAACAAGATTATTGCGGTCACGGCAGACAAGCCTTACATGCCCTTCGACAACGTCGGCAACACGGGCTATTCATTCAGCAAGGCCACGGGCACCGGCGGTGAAATCAATCCAGTGCTGGCGAAGATATTCCAAACGGTCGAGCAGTCGAAGGCCAACGAAAACAACGCGCAGGCCGGGTCTGCTGGGGCTTCTGCGGGCCTGTCGAATGCGCGCAAGGATCGCGTCATTGCTGGCCTGGACAAGCCCGTGACCATTGTTGATGAAGACACAGGGCAGGCGACTGTTACCACGTTGCCGACCAAAGGGGCGCC